TATATATATATTTCTGCAGCACGACGGCTCAGTGGTCACCACCGACGCCCCACAGCAAGAAGGTCCTGGGTTCGATTCCCGGTTTGGACCTGGGGTCTTTCTGTGTGGAGTTTGCATGTTCTCCTCCTGTTGCGTGGGTTTTCTCCGGGTACCCCGGTTTCCCCCACCCCCCAAAACCTGTACAATAGGTTGCCTTCAGGCCCAGGCCTCCCTTGAAAAAGAGATCTGAGATCTCAACTTGACTTGCCTGGTTAAATAACAGTTTAATTTTTTAGGTAATTTAATTAAAGTAGAAAACTGGGGGTTTGGTCTTAAGAGATGAATGAACCAACTGACAGGCCAAACTTTGGTCACTTTCGGGCTGAATGTGGACCGCGGGCCGCCAGTTGAATAACCCTGGTTTACACTAAAATATTTTTTACATTCATTGAATATTAAATGTCCAGGGCGTGACCTTTGTTCACTGGAATCTCAAAAAAAAGGTGTCAACTCACATGTCTCTGTGATCGAGGATCTTCACATACCATTCTTCAGATGTTTTAAGTATCACTTTACCTTTGCATAAAATCAGTACTTACTGTAGCTACCTGGCAACCTTTCGTGGCCTCTGTCCACATACTTGGTGCAGGAATGCTTTTCAGAGCTGTGACGGCGCAACAAAGCTGTGTGCGGTGCGTCCTGACAGGTGGGAGATGAACGACTGGCCTGGTTTTCCTGTGGAACATCACACACATTGTTCAGAGCTGGAGAGGTGCATCAGGTGTACAAAAACTTCAGCTTACAGCGTATCTACACACATTTGAGCTTTTTTTTTTCTTTCTTTCCTGGCTTCAGTAATCCTCTCAGGATGCTGTGATAGCGGTGCAAACATGCTAACACACAGCACAGAGGGACGCACACAGCACAGAGGGACGCACACAGAAGCAACTTTATTTTTGCACCTCTGCTAGACGGTGATGCTGCAGAATATTCTCAGAGCCGGGGGAGGAGGTGGGAGGCGGCAGTGCAGTGAGGAGGGAGAAAGAAAGGGAAGGAGGAGATGGCTGGAGGTGAAAGCAGACGGAGGGATGGTTGAATGTGAAGAAGGAGGGAGTCAGAGGGAGAAAAGGGGGAGAGGAGTGTTGAGGTTGCATTAGATCCTGTAGCAGCAGAAAGTCAGCTGCAAGAGGAGAGAGGCTGCAAATCAGCCTCCCTCCACCCTTCCTCTCAGCCTCTCCTCTGCTATTGATATTCATGCTGAGACAAACCAGAGACTGTGTGTCCATGCCGGTGAGGTGATGTCGCTCTTAGTGTTTGTGAGTGTTTCTTCTTTATATTTCTCTGCAGGTTCCTGCTTGTTTCTGCAGAATATGTGTGTTTTATGTACTGACTCGCTGCCAGAGGCTGGAGCAGAAACTGTTGATGACAAGTGAACAAACTAAAGACGGTTAAAGCTCGTGTTGCTGCTGGCAGAATAAAAAGAGTGAAAGTTCTGGAAGACAGGTTTTAGAAAATGAGTGGAGGCAGGAAATACAGCGGGAGGAAGTGCTGAAAATGCTGGAATGGAAGTGAGTAACGCCGGTTAACAGAAATATGATGTCATGCTAAAAGCAAATGATGCAACATGGTAGTGATGAGGCACAGTGACTTTTACATGTTACATTTTTGGGGTTTGTAATTATACTTATAAACACAGAGAAGGTTAAAAACTGTATTTTTATGTCAAATATGAAAATCAGTTAATATTTTTATTTATAAAGCACATTTTAGCCCTAATTTCTAATAAAAACAACACAGCTAAACATTTTTATATCCTGTATGAATATAACTTCAACACTTCACAACATTATTTTGGACAGAATCTGTTTCAAAATAGTTCAGATTATTTAAGTGGGATTTTGAGGCATAATTGTGAACAGTTAATATCTTACCTGTTGTAGATAACTCATTGAACGTTCTCAATTTGAAGAAAGAATAACGTCTTCACAAAACCCTTCATTTCAAATGTGTTTAGTAAGTAAACTCTGTCAAATTATATTTAAATCACAAATTATTATATTATCAAGGATAGTACTTCCCAAAGGTTTTAACTTTAAGCTCATAAAATGATAATGATGGAGGCTTGTGATGTAAATATAGAAATGTCTGCAATGATCGCATTATCATTATGTCACATTAGCACCAAGCTAATATTGTTAGCTCAGGAGCTAACTATATATA